GAGGCATATAAGTAAAAATAAGATGAGATTAATGAAATGTAAAAATTGTGTACCAATTTATTTAATAGTCTAAAATACACACGAAATAATCTGGATATAAGAGATTTCGACTAATGAAAACAGCGAAATAGGGTATTAGCTGATGCATTTAATCTGCCACATGGTCATTAGAATAACCGATTTAAAGGTGGCAGACAACAGGTACCGCACGAATTACGCCTCCAACGCAATGCAAGCAATTGACGAAGAGGACTCCACGGCGTAGATGGTAGTCTTGAGAATGCCAAGCAGGGCGATTTGTACCTGCCTGAGTCATCTTGTCCTGAAGAGGCTGGAGTTTATTGTCTTCCGACCAAAAGCAGCCTCCATCAAGCGTCTTTGCTCCAAGACCCGGCGGCTATAGTTTATGTGTAGGTGAAAATTAGGTCAAATCGCCAAGCTAAACTTTTATGGTGCAAGGATGTGCGTCGTAGGGAGGTCAGAGTGTCCAAGGGCAATAGGCAGCCTGGTCGAGGACAAGCAGACCAGCTGCTGCTGCTGGTGCCTTAGAGCCGGGAGAAAACGAGAGAGAGAGACAGGTTCTGTGAGGGCGTAGTTACTGGAGCGGCAGTTACCGGTACAGATGAGTCAGTGTGGCAGTTAAACGCGCCATATCATGAGCCCGGGAAGAGCGCGAGCGCTCGAGAGATTGAAGAAGTTTCTGTAGGCATTGGAGGCACCGGAAGAAGCCTCGTTGTCCTTGCCGACCAGACCGGGACGGTTGAGAGGAAAGAATTGACAGACCCACTCTCAGACGGTCGCTGGATCCGAGCATTGCAGCATTTCATTCAAAGGGATGCAAACCAAGATGGTATTGTGGTGTCCGCTTCTTGTAGACCAGTTGCCACACAACAAGCTCAATTTGCCAAGACCATGACAACTCATTGCTGTACCAAGATTTCGCCTGAAATTTGCCACCTCACGGGGGCCCGTGCTGATTGACCAGCACGGATGCAGCCAGCGGTTACCGATAGGATGAAACATATACAAATTTAATTTATTCAAAATTATTCGCCCGTAAAGCAAATATTAATAAAATATTTTTTAGTATGTAAGTAGAATTTCAAGACTACCAGGCCTTTGGAAACGTCAGCTCTATTCATATTATTGTGGGAAAATCAGACTACCACTCCTTCATCACCTTTAATGAAATAGGGTGAACACAAACTCATATTATTAATACAGTAGGTTGTCGAGACTACTAACAGATTATGTAAGTAGATGAGGTGTATTTACCCTATTTCGTTTAGGTTTCTCACAACTTTATGAGTAGATCTGACGTTTACACTGAACTTCATATAGCCTTATTTCTCAAAAGGTATCTCACCCAGGGTGGACTGCTGTTACGGTCGACTGCATTACTCATATCCATGGTTAACCACGACTTAGAGTGAATACACCACTTGTTCAACTATTTGGAACTTTCCCAGTCACTGGAAAATTTAAGATGCATTCAAAAAGGTCGCCCTGACAACATGTCCAAGTTGAAAACACTGGGTAAAACCATGTTAATATAGGGGAAAGAGACTAT